GGGGGGGGGGGGGGGGGGAGGAACAGCTTTAAGTTGGTGGACCTGTATGAATTGTTGGTATCTGACCACTTTTGACCTACAAAATAGCAATTTCATATGGTTCAACCAAATGCTACGGATGGTAGAAATAACACAGCTGGTTAAATTGGGGTGGGGCAGGGGTGGGGGAGGGAGAGGGAAGAGTTCGAAATGAAGGACTCCCATGTTCTGGTTTGGTAACTAGGCAGATCTTGCTCCCACACACACAAGGGAGATGGGCGACTGAGGCTGAGGTTGGGGGGACAATGTCCTATGGTAGTTACCGACGTACAGACATGTGCAGTGCCCGAGAAATCCAGGCGTGTAAGTCCGAAACTATGGGGATCACCAGGCCACAGACGGAGATTTCAGGGTCCCAAAGCCGCAGGCAGAGGCCAGAGCCCTGGGGGTGGTTGAAAAGGCGCTGACAGAAGAACAGGTTGTCCCACTAAGACAGAAGAGCCCAAGTCCACTAGCCAATACTCAGGGCTACCAGATTCTGTCTCACTCATGCAATTCAGGCATAGAAGCCAGGAGGCTGCATTACAGGCTAATGAGGGGAGGAAGTCACAGGAAGTCACAGGGTCCAGAGACGATGGTGCATGCAGGACAACAGTTAAAGTGATGACTTCAGAGTCCGGGTTCAGCAGGAGAAGCAGCATGACTGGAGGAAATCAACAATGTCAATGTAAAGGGGTGGACTAGAGTATGTGGACAAGGTCAAAGAGGAGGTTCTGTCACAGTGGAAAAAAAAAAAAAAAACAGAAAGAAGGCTCTGGGTCAAGAGCTGGATTACACGTTCAAGCCTTTCTAAAAGTAAAGCCTTTCTAGACGTCAGGGATGTGGCAAAGGAAGAGCATGCAAAAATCAAGTGGAGTTGGAGATCTGTGAGTGGCAGGGATCAGGGAGCTGACAAGCCAGAAGCTGGAGGGATTTCAAAACAAGCCAAAACAAGCAGTGACCTTAAGTGATATATGAGACCAAGGTATAGAAACAAAATGAAAACCAGAAGGAGAGGAAAGAGGTAAGAAAGTACCATCTTTTCATGATTAAACATGGACGTAAACACTTCCCAGATGTGATGCTGGCTAGGAACTGGCCAGGAACAGCCTAAAAAGGAGCTCAGTTTGGCTTAACTCAGCTTGCCTAAGTTCTACTAGATTCAAATAAATGACCCAAACACACTCCCTTCTTTTAGTTCTATCACACAGAAGTAGCAACACTATCTTCACACAGATGTAACCAGGCCTGAAGGAAACGTCAACATTTTCCAGGTGTTTCACGGCACTTTCAGTAACCCATGTGAGTGGCCATGCTTCTGGAGCTCACTGAACTCTGCCTGCCACTTCTGATTTCTTAGTTCACTCCTAAGACTCAGACCTGCCATCTTCTCTGTCCCCTAACCAATCTTCCCATGTCACTGCAGAGGCATCTCTCCTGCTTTTCTTCATAAAAGTTCTTTGCAAGCCCAGCTATACAACCCAAAGGAAACTTTTCTCTGCACAAGTTTTTTCTAGGCTTTCCTAGCTACATTCCTCTAGCCCCCTGAACACCAATCTCAGTGAAGAACCAATGCATTTGTGGTACTGCTTCCAAAAACACAGAAAAGGCAAAAGCTAACTAGCAATTGGACCTGGTCAGAAGAAAACTGGTAACCCTAAGTACCACTTAGGTGGTGAAAAACACCTCTCTTTGAGCAGGCTTTCCAACAAGAAGCAGAACAGCAGCCAGCCTCCACTTCTTTGGCCGTAACTTTGCATGGCATTTACACGCATCCCTACACTTATCTACACAACAGTGGCATGGCTCAAAGTCTGCAATAATTTTAAGAGTTAAGTAGAAAATTTTGCAGATAGCAAGATTCTAAGGTTTTTGTTTTTTTTTTAAGTGACATTGTTTCCTTCAGGTTTGAAGACAGTATTTTTCAATCCATTCTCCTACCTCACAATTCCACTCTCCTCTTCACTGCTCCCAAGTAAGGACTTACGTACCAAAAAGCGACAAGTGAATGCATTACTACTCACAAAGGACTTAAAAATAAAGCACTTAGAACAATTACTAGCACACAGCAGCTACTCAAAAATGTTAGTTACTATGATCAGCAAAAAAAAACCAGCATCAAGTCCTAGAGTTCTTTCCTGAACAACGGACAAAATTCCAGACTAACCCACTACAGCCTGTCTGTCCCCCACGAGTGAATCGTGCTATTCACGGTGCCGGCTGAGATGCTGCTGTTCTTGGGAACAAAATTTAAAAAGCTAAGCCTCACGGCAATGGTTCCAAATGTCTTTTGAACTGAGAAAAAGGTAGAACAGATGTTTCCACCGACTGGTGGTCAGGGAGTACTTATCTGTCATTCAGAAGACAGGTGTTGTCTACACTAAACCATTCCCACCTGGCATTTTTTCCTCTAAACTACTAAATTAATCTTCAAAAGATGTAACTCTCTGAAGTAATATTTTTAGAGTCCTTCTTTCAGAGTAAATCAGAAACGTGTCTCCACACCACTCTTCTGGACCTTAGGCCTGGCATATATACAACTTGTGAGGACATTCCATATGCACTGGGTCCGTAGTCCCCTCCTTCCCCTGCCTCTTGGACACCAAGTCAACCTCTTTGGCTTTAATGGCCTACAGAGTACAAAGGTATATGCAGTTGTTATTTGTCAGCTACAGTGGAAAACTAATATGAAGACACCACCTTGGTCTTCAGTTTGCCATGTGAAGGGCTGGTGTGTGAACAGAAAGCATTCCCCGAAATGGGGAAAAAAAAAAAATTGTGATGAGCAGAGGTTTGTGGTTTAGTTCTCAAAAAATCAACGTTCATGAAACTACGATAATCATATGACCTCATGTTCTGTATACCTTATCAAGCCTTAAAACAACCTCATAACGTGTACTGGGAAGGTGCTATGCTTTTTTTACAAAGAAAATGAGGCCCAGAGAAATTAAGCCTTACCCCAGGTCACACAGCAAGTTGGTAGCAGAACCAGCAATAGAACTCAAATCCCTGGGTCCAGTACTCTATTATACTAAGCTACCTCCCATATAAAAACTGGAAAAGCAAATACTTCATGGGCCCAATCTCACTAATACCACTTCTTTACTATCTGCTATACTTTCCTCTCACCATATGTTGCCACCTCTTGAGGGGTATCCATACAAAAGAATCCTTGGGCGATGCATATATACTGTATTTAATACTTCCTCGGAGAACACCTCACGTGGAATGATAGAACACAGGAAAAAATGACAAGGTAGTGTCAACAGTACGAGCCCTAATGTTAAAAAACCTGACTTTTAGTCCTAACTTTGTCACCGGACACTAATACAGCCAAATGCAGCCATATGCCTTAGATAACTATTTAATTCTTCTTGCATTTTTACTTCTTTATCCACAAGAGCGATAACTGCTCCAACTACTTCACAGAATTTTTGTAAATATCAAATTAGATAATGTCTATTAATCTATAAATTTAAAATGCAAAATTTTTAATGGAAAATACAGATTACACAGTCTCTATGCTCACTGGAAAGTGATGGTGAGTATTTACAGAACAACATGGTACTCTAGCAGCCATTTTGGTACATTTCCTTTGCAAGAGAAATGAATGGCAGACACATAGTAGGTATACAATAAATACCGGACAAAACATTTTCAGAAGGTGGCACAGCACAGCAGAAAAAGTACCACACCAGTGACCCAGGTTCTAATTCTAGCCCTGCCATTAATGAGATGTGCGACTCTGGGTGAATCACTTCACCTCTGCGGCCTCAAACTTCTACATCTATAAACATGAGTGAGTCGATCATATTGTACAAAATCCCCTTCAGGTCTATGATCGTGATAACTAGAGTTGGCGTAACTTATTCATGAGGTGAAAAAGATGGTTCTGAAACCATAAATTTACCACAAAGAAAAGGTAAAAAGATATTTCCTAACCCAACATCCCAACTATAAAAGGAATTCTAGGAAAGCAACAGGTTTTACAAAGACTACTACTTACTTGCTAGACCTTGGAACTACCATTTCAGCTAGTGTTTCATACTGCTTAATCCAGTCGTTGTGGTTTAACCTGAAAAAAAGGTACAGTAAGTAGTGGAAAAGAAAAACAAGTCTTACCTCCTGCCATGTTGAGACAGAAAAAAATATGGGACAAACAGGAAATTCAACTAAAGTATACTTCAAATCTATGTCACACACAAAATTCAAGTTTCCTACTGAGAATGAATTTCAAATACAGTGAGCAGTGAAGCAAGAAATACAGTTCACCACTCTCTTACATCCAGTAACTATTGCAAAAGAGGCACATCCTAGAACTAAGTTTGGAAAGGTAGTAAAGCAAAGTATACATTCTAAATTACCTTCAAACTTCAGAGTCAATAATGCATTACCTCATTAAAAATAAATAAATTCAAAGGCCATACTGAAATCACTATCATTTCTGTTCACTGGCCATTATGAAGGGCTGGATCAAACTATTTACCAAAAGCACAAAGTACCAGGAAGTATTGAGTAAATTAAGTGACAGTAAACCATGCTCCACAGAACATTGTGCAACAACTTTCTCTACAGACCAACGGATTTTGGGGGTGTGGGGAGAGAAGGTTATGTTTGCAATATAAAGAACTACAGGATTTATAGGTCAGGATAGTGACTAATTCATCATGGAAGGTGCCCCAGGTCCTAGGTTTCAATTATAGCGAAGAGAAAACTATAAAAACGTCTGATTTTAAACACAAATTTTCAATAAAAATAGAGACAAATCTTTTATCTGCACAAAGGTTATTTTCCTACATGCATAAAAACATAGACACACAGAAATTTATTATAAAAAAACAGTGCTCTATAGTATTCTGAAGTTAGGGGAGAAAAGCAGATATCAGATGATAGTGTAGCCACAGTAAATTCAACGGAGGTGCTTTCCCATCCTTTCCAGGAGGCATCATTTTCTAATACTCCCCATTTCGTAACCAGATAAAAAAAATGGAGAGCACAGCAAAGGAAGAATTCATACACCGATACTGTGAAGAATCCCCAACTTTTCCACCTCAGTTTGGATCCTCCAAAGATTCCCTGATAGCAAGACTTCAGTTCAAGTCAGAAGTGAAATCATTAAGTGTTTCTCTCTCATAGACACACATGCACACAGAGTTCTAATTCTTCCTATGAATATCGAAAGGCCTCATTTTATTAACAATGATCAAATGTTAATTAACACAGAAGACCTAATCTAAAGATTTCAAAGGGTTATCTAACCCAGCAAACTATGCCGAGAGCCTGCAACTGTTTTTGTAAACAAAGTTTTACCGAAACAGAGCCACATCCATTCTGTAGGTACAGTGTATGGCTGCTTTCAGCTACAACCACAAAGTCGACATGGCAAAGGTGAGTAGCTGTAACACAGACCCTATGGCTTGCAAAGTGTAAAATATTAACTATATGGCCCTTTACAGAAAAAATTTGCCAACCCCAGATCTAATCTATCCTTTGCTTCTTAAAGGGCTTAATTCATCCTAACCAATCATAAAGATTTTTCACAAAGGCCACCTGGCTGGCTCAGTTGGTTAGGCGTCCAACTCTTGATTTCAGCTGAGGTCACGATCTCACAGATTTGGGAGTTTGAGCCCCACATTGGGCTCTTCAAGCTCCATACTTTCTCTCCCCATCTCTGCCTCTCCTCTCTCTCTCTCTCTCAAAATAAATAAACTTTAAAAAAAAAAAGAAAAGATTTTTCAGAAAAACAAAAGCTTCCTACTCCGAAAAACCTAAAATCTATATTTTTTTAAAAATCTAATAATTTAGCATTATTTAATTTTTAAATAAGCCAACTCTACTAAGCTGCTAAATTTGATTTGGAATCTCAATTTATAATTGATGTCTCCATTATCAGATTATGAACTAAACTCTACTTACATGCCACCTGAGTACATGTTAGTTGATGGAATGAATGACAACGTAATAATATTCCCTTTACAATTGAGTTCTATGGAAAACTTCAAATTACAGTATCAGACACTAACATTTTTTTAATATTTTAACAAGCAAAAGTAATAAAAGACATACTTGGGAACCACGACCAGTAATGTGACGAGATACTCTGAATCAAGAACAAAGTCATCCTTCTTCACAATTTCTGCTAAACTTCTAGTTAGCAAACTTCCTCTGAGGAGTAAGAAAAAAATAATCAGGCTGATCATGCCTCCATAACATAAGAAGTATCAGGCTAATTACATTCACATCTACTATGTGTACACCTCAAGAGACTGATTAGTCTTAGGTAACGTTTCTACTTTGTAAGAAGACTAAATTTAGCTGAGTATTTCCCATCCTCACTATCAAAGAAATGCTACCATTTATCAATATTTGCCTCTAGTATCTCCCTTTGTGTTTGCTTTAATTATTATAATTCAACTCTTCTCCTGATTACATATCTAGTACCTTGACTGGGCAAGTGTTATTTATTGAATGCCAATTAAAACCTATTTCATCATAATTACAAAATTACATCATCTAAGGACAATCTCTGATCTTCCTCCCTCTCCCCAGGTATCATCTGATCCTAGGCAATTTTGGTTAGTTAACCCAATAATCAAATCAGTCTTCATCTGGTCTCCCAGTACATTTCATAATGAAAGTGACTTGCCCTGTTTGTACCACTGATAGTATCCAACCAACTTTCCCTCTGGAATATGAATGTGTAACTTGAATAGTTAAACATTTAAAGCTACACTTGCAGTGGTCATACTACAATGAGATCAAGAAAACAAATGTGTCCTATTTTTGGAAAATCTAACATGTAAAAAAGCTAAACTTGGAAAACAGATAAACAGACAAATTACATTCTTTGATAGAATTATTCTTTGATAAAATTCAAATAGAATTCTTTGATAGAATTCTTTTAAGCAGCAGGTGATTGCTATGCAATTAAACTATGATTCGATTTGAAACAATTTTAGGCAATCTTTCAGTGAAAACACAAATGGATAAAGGGACAAATTAGGACCCAACTCACAAGTTTTATAAAACAAGAATAAATCAGCTTCATCTGTTTTGACTAGTCTGAATTAATAAATTTTTCTCCGTGAAGTGAAAAAACACCATTTTAATTATAGAAGTAGCATAAACTGGAATTCACTAAACCCCAACAATAGCTCATTCAGCACTTGCCCAATTCTTAATATTCACATATGCTTACGCATTCTTCCGTTCCAAATTCTGAAGATTCCCTTTCAAGTTATTATATGCGGATGCTCTAGATTTCAGGTCATTGTCAATCTGAGTCACTCCCTTTAAAAATGAAAAACAAAAATAAGCAAAATTTTTCTAACAGAAATAAAGTAGCTGTACCTGAACACTTTAAAAAACAAATACCACTAGTTGCTGATGTAACAACTATTATTTTAAAAGGACAACTTTTTAATGTTTATTTAAATTTTAGTATATAGTGCAATATTGGTTTCAGGAATAGAATTGAGTGATTCATCACTTACGTACAACACCCAGTGCTGATCACAACAAGGGCCCTCCTTAACACCCATTACCCATCTAGCCCATCTCCCACCCACCTCCCTCCATCAACCCTCAGTTTGTTCTCTATTGTCAAGAGTCTCTTGTGGTTTGTTTCCCTCTCCTTTTTTCCCCCTTCCCATATGTTCATCTGTTTTGTTTCTTAAATTCCACATGATTGAAATTATATGGTTTGGTCTTTGATTAACCTATTTTGCTTAGCATAATACATCCTAGCTCCATCCACATTGTTGCAAGTGGCAAGATTTCATTCTTTTTGATGTAAAAGCACAATTTAAAAGATGATTAAAAAAATAACTTCCTTCATTTTTAATAACCCGGGTAATTTCCATATGAATCTTTTCTACTAAAGATAATGTTTTAGTCCACATATATTTTAATTACTGTTATGATACTACATCTTAAACCATAAATGGAATCTAAGCCACTGGGTATAGAGATTATTAATTAAAAAGCTTTAAATTCACAAGGCTGAAGGATTAATTTCCAAAAGTAATGAAGGTACACAGAGTTTTATTGTTCATAATGCCACTGTTCTTACATAGAATATTTTTTCAATTAAATTAAAATTGTGGTTAGATGTATTTATAAATGTTACAGAAGCTGATTTTTCAAAAAGAGTCCTAAAACTACTAACAATGTAAGGAGAACATACAAATCAGCAGATTTAACATTTGAAGAATGAGTTTCAATTCAGCTCTACCATTATCAGTTGTGTGGCAATATGGTAAGTCAATTCACCTCTCTGAGCCTATTTCCTCATCTATAATAGTATCAGAAAATGATGATTAAATCCTTGATAACTGGACCAAAATAAGGAGACTTCAGTCATAGTCAGAGCACCACTTTATATTATCAAACTACTCATTTTCATTATATTATAATGATTACCTCAGCTTTAAAATCCTTGATAATCTACTCATTTATATTGAACTATACAGCACTTACTCAAAGTCACTGAAAGCTAGGAAAAGGAAAGTCTGTCCAAGTAATTTAAACTACACTTTTCAGGGGCGCCTGGGTGGCGCAGTCGGTTAAGCGTCCGACTTCAGCCAGGTCACGATCTCGCGCTCCATGAGTTCGAGCCCCGCGTCGGGCTCTGGGCTGATGGCTCAGAGCCTGGAGCCTGTTTCCGATTCTGTGTCTCCCTCTCTCTCTGCCCCTCCCCCATTCACGCTCTGTCTCTCTCTGTCCCCAAAATAAATAAACATTGAAAAAAAAAAAAATTAAAAAAAAAAAAAATAAATAAACTACACTTTTCAGTTCAGTCAGGTCAGAATGTTGACAAACAGTTAATAGATCCTTGTCTATCTGCCTTGTTTGGAGTTTCAGGTAAGACTTTTATATTTTCTCTCAAGTTCAATGACTATCATATAAAAGGAACTCTTAACTCGGTGAGTTCATGGATAAGCTTCAGGATCTGTGTACTCATTGAAACCGTACATAAAATCATGTGTACATGAATACAGGCATTTTTCTGTGTAGAGGGTCAATACTGAACATCTGAAGGTGTCAGAAAACCCGTAAAGTTTAATGTCTGAAGCAGTACTGTATGTAAACATGCCAAAGTAATCATTATCACTAGCTGAATGACTCCTAAATCTTTAATAGATTCCAATTTCCTGTTCTACATAATCTCAGTTAACCCTTAAAATTTGTAGCAGTAATAATTATAGGATTTTAAGGGTTTTTTTCCTTACTTAAATACTGTTGATGTAATATTTAAGTTAACCACTTAAGTAAGTAAACTACACAACTTGGATAATGTACACTGGAAACTATAACACTTTTTAATATCTTTCTTTTTTGGTAAAGTTGTAGTAATGGTACCTCCTATTTATATCAGTCACATATAATTTAGTTGCTTTCTCAAAACCTAAACAGTATTTCACAGCTAAATATAAAATCAATAAAGCCACTATGAATCAATGTGTCCTACCTGTGTCATTTTTTATCTTACCTTGGCAATTATTTCAGAAATATTTTTCAGGGACTGCTTGATTGGGTATTTAGCCATGTCCCACTGAAACCTTGTTATATAAGTAACCAAGTCAACTGAAATAGGGAAATAAATTAATTACTGAGAAGCAATAGAACGTTCATAGTTTGCTACACAGTAATAAATTTTAATGCTGAAATTTGCATCGAGAAAATCAGTAAAAACGTCATCACTGCTGGAGAGTCCAGATTTTTAAAATGTGGAACTATATTCAGTAATGGATTAATCAACATTTTTACTTTGTCATCTGACTGGATCTCTTCTTACTCAGAATTTTATATTTATAAATGCTCCTTCTAACGTGATGACTTAATAAATGGAATATGCACATACCCATGATATACCTCATATGTAGGAGAAACAGACACAAAGATTAAGAAACTACTCCTCAATAAGTAGAATTTGATGCAAGTATGTTCTTTCTTTGCCAGCCTACCCAAATAAACTGAAAATAAACCTGTTAAAACCAGGTAACAACCGTTTCTAGGAGTCTATACAACAATCTTCAAAACACAGGCCCTTTCACATTCAAATGAAAAGAATAAAAAATGTAAAGCCAAAGAGACACTCAACAACTATTCCCTGGAAAGTTCAGTAATCAAGATGACTTTACTTCTCAAGTCTAATGGGATCAAGGTCAAGGAGACCAAATGGCTAACTGGCAAAAAGAATTTACATCAAAATATCCTTGTCTCCTCAATTTCTTCCTACATTAATGTTAAGGGGTCAATATGGATGCTATTTCTAAAAGCAACTGCAGACGCAAGGCCACCCAGGTGGGCTGTCAATCCCCATTCCACCTACTAGACTGCATGTCCTAGTTCATCAAATACCTACAAGAGCAGTAAATGCATCCTAACTTAACATATCTACCTTCTATCCTTCTGCCCCGAACACAAATTAACAGAAATAGTAAACAACTAGGTCAGGATCACTACTGTAACAAAGAGCAAGAATAAATCACTAAATTTTTGTTTTACTAAGTATTTATTCAGCATCTATTATTTGCAAGGAGAAGAAATGAGGTTAGAGAAACACTAAATTAAAAATACAGTTAACTCTTGGCCGAGAAGAAATACTGCTGGAGATAACCGACTGTTAAGAGACCCGCACAGTGTGGCATCAGGCCCTTGAGTGTGGCAGGAACCTTGAGAAAGCCACATCCCAGGCTTGTGGGGCAACTTTTCCACGACCGCCACATGTTCCAATTGCCAAAGAGATGGATGAAACTGTTGCCACGTTTATCATGAGGACCATCTTGAAAATCCCAATGACTGAAATGATGAAAATCCTCAAAGCCTGGGACTTTTTGTTTGCAAATCAACTGCAGACCGTAAACTTCCGGCAGAGAAAGGAATCTCTCGTTCAGGACTTGGTTCTGCTCTGTGAGAATAAGTGTGCAAGTCTCCATGATACAGCCCTTTTAGACATCATTTATACTCAATTTCATCGGCACCAGAAAGTTTGGGATGTTTGTCAAATGAGTAAAGAACCAGGTGAAGACGCTGACCTTTCTTGATACGGAACAATTCAAAAGTTCATTTGAGAAAATTCTTCGGAGAGCATTAAAAAATGTGAGGGTCAGCTTCAGAGACGCTGAGGAGAATGCAGTAAGGATCTGAATTGACTGGGGAACGCAGCACAGAAAGTCAAACCAGTACAAACCTGTCTGTGTGCTGTATTACTCCCAGACTCCCTACGCCTTCACTTCCTTCTGCCACCTGAAGAGCAATATACCCCTTCTGGGTCAGGCACTGACAGTGGCTAGCAATCACCGTAAGACTGTGAAAATGGACCTCAGAAGCCAGTATCTGGACTCTCTGAAGGCTACTGTTTTCAAACAGTATAGTCAGACCTTTGAAACTCACAACTCCACCAAACCTCCACAAGAAACCCTTGAGCCGGACATGCACACGGATTCAAGGACCATTCATGAAAACAGAATCGAAAAAGAGAGAGTCCAGAGAGTGACTCAAGAAACTTTTGGAGACTATCCTCAACCAAGACTAGAATTTGCACAATATAAGCTTGAAATTAAATTCAAAAGTGACTTCCATGGGGGCATCTTGGCTGAGAGAAAAGAGCCCCTCCGGTGCCTAATGAAGTTCTCTAGCCTGCATCTTCTGGAGGCACTGAAATCCTTAGCACCAGCTGGTATTGCAGTCACACCACTTTCTCCATTGCTCACCCAATAAGGGAATGAATTATTTTAAAACCAGAGATAAATAAGATGTCTGTGGTTTTGTAAGCATGGTACTTGCTTGACTATATTGCATATGCATTTCAGTTAACGGCTAGCTGGAAAGCTTCTGTTTATGAACTTGTGTTTTAGAAATTCATTCTTAATATTGACAGTCCAGAAATGTTCAATATGCTTGTTGGGACTGATTCTTTCCTCCTCCAGTATGTACCCCGCTCCCCCATATCCTGCAAAGCATAGCAATTGAGGGCCTTTAAAAAGCGATAAGGTGTCCTTTTCCTCACTCCTATCTCTCCTTGATCCTGGAGAGACTGGGTTCTAATTGCTTGTTTCCAAGGATTTTGTTTGAAGCCTTGGATCATGGAAAGAAACAGCAAGAAACTATCCTCAACTCAAAACTTTCTAGGAAAATCATAAAATTGGTCCATTCAAAGGGTAGAGTTGGGTCCATTAAGTTATTGCAGGAAGTAGAATATCAGATGATTCAGTAATATAATAGTTTCAATGTAAGTATGATACTGTTCATAATCTGTTTTATCCTACATATGGCATTCAAACTCACCATACTACACTGATTTGTGAATAAAGATTTCAAAACTGGTACATCAGTTATGTCTGATGGCAATTCTTTGGTGATCATCACAATATAGCATGTCCTTTCTTAATAACATTTCGAAATCTACTTCCTATTGTGTTCCACAAAGGATTTGGGGTATAAAAATGTATATTACAATTATGATAAAATTAAAAGGTGAGGCAGTCTTGGACAAATGGGAAAGCAAACGAAAAGCAAGGACCGAATAAAGGTAGAGATAAAACTGCCATGTAACAAGATACGAGTGTCTCCATCTGCTAGAAGATTGAAAAACTGGAGCGGAGTTAGCCAGTGGTCAAAGCAGAGAAGAAAACACCATTCGTGAATGAAGATATTTAAAAACTGGTGCATCAGGGGCACCTGGGTGGCTCAGTGGGTTAGGCATCCAACTCTTGGTTTCAGCTCAGGTCATAATCTCACGGTTCGTGAGATGGAGCCTTGCGCCAGGCTCTGCGCTGACAATAAAGGGCCTGCTTGGGATTCTCTCTCCCCCTCTCTGCCTCTCCCTTGCTTGCTCTTTTTCTCTCAAAATAGATAAACATTTAAAACAAATTTTTTTAAATACAGTTAACTCTTAGTCAAACTACTCCATACTGCTGCCTCGGCATCCATTTTGTGTGGCCAAGTGGCCCACAGGGAACTAGAAATTACAGAAGCCTTTTCCTTGGGAGCAGTTCTAGGTAAGAGCCTGCAGAGTGACAAGAAATGTGAGTTCCTGATAGACTCCCACTGATAAAACACTCTCCTCCACTGCCCAGGGCCTTCTCCCTAAGACAAGACCCCCTCAAAGTTTGCCAAAGCCCTACTCTTTTTGGTTTGAACTGAACAATCCCAACTTAGCCTGGGAACCCCAAAGCACTCCACCCGCAGACCCTAATAAAGGCATGTGCCCCAGGTCCTGCCACTCTCTGCCTGCACCTTGATCTCCCCATATGGTGCCCCCTCCCACAGGACCCGTGAGTAATAAACTTCTCTATTTCACTTTCCCTTGAGGTCTTTTGCTGAATCATGGCTCAACATCCCATGATACTCCAGGACTCTCTACTCAACAAATGTTAATATAACAAAATCACAACAGTGACATTCATCACAGTAGGCAATACAGGACAGAATGAAAGAAAAGGGTTACTTCTTATTATAATGACATATCACTAAAGATGAGCCTAAATTCAAATAAAGTGTCATTTCATAAAGAACACCAAATACAAGTACAAATGACAACAGTGAGGTCAAACTATCTTTACAAAGTCATTATTATACCAAGCAAACTATTAGCTTCCAGCTACAGAGAGGTCAGTAGCAGACTACTCCATGGCACTAAGGTAAAGAAATGCCATATTCAAATTTGAGGGGAAAGGCATTTCCCCTGCACTAAAATTAAAATTTTTTATTCCAAGGCTTTAGAAGTTGGATGCTATTAAATACAAAAGCTAGAGAAGACAAGTATTCAGCTGGAAAAATGCTGAGACACATAACCTAGAAACACTGTGAATGTGAGTTAACAACTGGCTCCAGGAAAGAACTCAGGTAAATCTTTATAATATTGCTTTTAGAAGGACGTGACATCTATGTCATAAGCTATATTATCTACTATGTATGTAAGACTGTCTTACACAAAATGTTAAGGGGGACAAGATGTAACTGGAATATCACCAAATTCAGTACTAATAATTATATCTTTAGTGGCTTTCTATTATATTTAATATCCTTATCTATAGATTTTTTTACATTCTTTTTTTTGTTTTTATAGCTAAGTCATTCACCTTATACAAGTCAGTATCAAATCTTGAAACATTAGCTTACCTCCGTTGGCCAACAGATTCTCCTGAACTTTATCTTTACTATCTTCCAATACATCAGCCATATATTGAGCCACTTTCTTAACCACCCTTGGGAGGGGAAAAAAAAAATCAATAATCGTTTCCAGGAAAAAGACCTAAATTCCATGCTTTACAATGAACACACTACATACACACATGAATTGGACTATATATCCCTTTATATGTATCTATTTAATACAGAACAAATGGGTTATAACTTCTTAAGTAATGTTTTAAGGATAGAAGGGACCAAGGTTTTGTAACATGCAAAGCTGAACTGAGTAACCGTAGACTTTTAACTATTTAACTATTTCTTAACTATTATTTAACTATTTAACTACTATTAACTATTAGGAACAATGCTAAAGAGAAACCATGGTGTCGTTAACTACTGAGGCACCTACACATCACCTTATCAATCCCTTCATTTTATATAAGTAAAGACACCAAAGTATAAAGAGAATAAATGACTTAGTCACAAAAGTCACAAAATCACAAAAGCAGCTAATGGCAGAGCTGAGACTAGAAACATAGTGTCTGGACTTTGGTGTTCTTTCTCTGGTTCCATGTCTGCCTCTAGGCCCTGGGGGGTGGGATACAAAAGTATACAAGACAAAATATCAAGTTGAAAATATACCAAGACATACAAATGACTAAATACAAAGCAATGTGTGGTTAAGTGCCAACTGAGATTACCAGGTTACAGAGAAGAGAAGCATAAAGGAAAAAGGGATCACTTTCAGCTACTGGAATCAAAAAGTCTTAATGACTCTGGGGCATCAGGGTGGCTCGGTCAGTTAAGTGTCCGACTCTCGATTTCGGCTCAGGTCATGATCTCACGGCTCATGGGTTTGAGCCCTGCATCGAGCTCTGTGCTGATAACGTGGAGCCTGCTTGGGGTTCTCTCTCTCTGCCCCTCCCCAGCTTGCGTGTGCTCTCTCAAAATAAATAAACTTTAGAAAGAAAAAAAAAAGCACAATGACTCATGAGCAGGGCAATAAAGGATAGGAATGGTTTTGAAAGGGTGATTAAGATGGGAAGAAAGTATACTCTTGCTACAGGGCACCCTCTGAGTCAGGATCAAGAGCGGCAGAAAAGCCAATGGGCCTTCACAGTATTATGAGGAATCCAGGCTGCCCAGAGTGCTGAGAGGGGGAGGGGGGGCGAGGAAGGTGGCCCAGAGCCAGACTGCAGATAGACAGCCTCTGAGGTCAGACTTTACAGAGAAGTACAGTATAACACGGTCCAAACAGGGTTTTTGACAATTCATCTGAGGACCATATGCTCAATGGCAGGGAGAGTAAACCGGTAGACAAATTAAGAAACTCCATGCAATATGAACCAATAAGGCCCAGAAAAAATTCTATGCTGAATGACCTCAAACCTAATCAAGCAGAACTGCAGAAAAAATGATAAAGCTGTTAAGTCTTCAACTCGGATTTGTACACACATTTGCCTAGGTCTCCAAAATTCACTTATCCCTTCAAAGGCAACAAACCATTATTCCCATATAATTTCCCAAGCATCTTGTAAACAGAACCATTTGCTATGAATATGTAAAAATGGTCATATGTTTGCCACAGAAATAGTTCAAGAGTATAGAACGGCCTGGTGTCAAGTTTATACACTTAATGCGTAATTGACAACTTCACAATCTCCCTGTGCATCTCCACAAAACTTATCTATGTCCGAGTACACATGGTAACCTTAAAAGCTGCTCTTATCATTAGATTACTTGGTAAGTAAAAACTGTAATTTACTCCACATTATCACATTGTTCAGACTTAAAAAGCTAACATCTGTTAATTCTACCAAGGCCTAAAAACCACAGGATTTTTAAACTCTTCAAAGGTTTCAGGAAAACTGACGAAGACAAGTTGCATAACAGTGCAGAAGAGGAGACAAAATGCACAGGCAACTTTTAATTCCATGACCAAACAGACTGCATTTACCCTAAATACTTTCCAGATTCCTCCCCTAAAAAATGTGAACAAACCTTAAACTATATGCAGGACATCCCAATGACAATTTAAAGAAAGACCTATAGAGCCACCCAGGTGATTAACAAGAATCCAAGTAAGTGTTGATAATTACATTCTCAGGGACTTCCCTTCTTCAGATTTCTTTGGTTGTCACCACCTGAAACTTTAATGTGGGGATGGGACTGTAGGGAAGACCATCATCTCAGGAATGGCAACTACAAAGAGTTTTCCTCAACTAAAAATGTGTAATCCAGAAACCAAGAGATGATTCATACTATCAATCAGTCCGCTGAGAATATCATCAATAATTACTTTCACATTTGCCCTACCATGAATACATGAAATTAGTAACCGTAAAGTACTGTTACTTTTTCTTTCATCCTTTTACTAATTCTTATGCCAAGTGTCTTGCCTCAGTTGAAGCTTGTAATATCTCTTGCCTAATCTACTTTAAACCTGTCTCCTAATTGGCCTCTTTGCCTCCAGTGTTAAAGACCATCAGTATATCTTCTGGTCTATTTACTTATTATATGTTGGTATGTTAAATCAATATAGAGAGGCAATATTTGCCTCTATTACCAGAAACACTGCATTATGGTGGTTCTATCAATTCAGAAAAGCCTAAGAGCACACATGGGAAATCCTTCTACACAGACTTCAAGTTCCCTTAAAGCTTCAATCAAATACACATTTCTAAGATTCTCCAAAATTCTGTATTTTACAAAATTGTACCTATTCACCTAAACCCTACCTATTTAAAAGCTCTGTATTCCAAGAGTCAAAGGGATTATAGACCGATTCTGCCAATTAATCAAAATGCAAAAAGTTATCAAGGACCCACACCCATCTTCGGCTAAAACACAAAGTAAATTTCAGAAGTAACTGAAAGTGGAGTTTAGAAAAACCTACGCTCACGGATTAAAGACTTAATATTGGTAGGATGGCAACAATCCCCAAATTGACCTACAGATTCAACACAATCCCCCTCAAAATTCCAGCTGACTTCTTTGCAGAAATTTGACATGATCCTAAAATTCATATAAAAATGCAAAGAATCAGAATAGCCAAGACAACCTTGAAAATTTAGAAAAACACACGAGAATTCACACTTTCTGATTTCAAAACTTACTACAAAGCTACAACAATCAAGACAATATGGTACTGGCATAAAGACAGAAATAAGGAATAGAAAGAAATATAAAATAAAACTGAGAGTCCAGAAATAAACCCTCACATTTACGTTGAATTGATTTTCAGCAAAGGTGCCAGGACAATTCAATGGGAAAAAAAAAAAAAATAGTCTTTTCAACAAATGGTGTTAGGACAACTGGATATCCACATGCAAAAAAACCCCTGAAGTGGGGACTCCTACCTCACATCATATACAAAACTTAACTCAAAATGGATGTAAGACCTAAATGTAAAAGCTAAAACTATAAAACTCTTACAAGAAAATATAGTTATAAAATTGTGTCACCTTGAATTAGGCAATGGTTTCTTAGACAAACAAAACACAAGCAACGAAAAATAGATACACTGGACATTAAAATGAAAAATTTTGTGCTTCACTCTCTCAGGTTTCCAAGATGACCAAGAAAGAAGGAATAATGGTCATGCCAAAAAGGGCCGCGGCCCCATGCAGCCTATTCTCTGCACTAACTGTGCCCGTACCGTGCCCAAGAACAAGGCCATTAAGAAGTTCGTTATTCTGGGGCACCTGGGTGGCTCAGTCAGTTGGGCGTCTGACTTCAGCTCAGGTCACGATCTCACGGTTTGTGACTTCCAGCCCCATATTGGGTAGGCTCTGTGCCGACAGCTCAGAGCCTGGATCCTGCTTTGGATTCTGTGTCTCCCTCTCTCTCTGCCTCTCCTAGCTTCTGCTCTGTGTGTCTCTCTCTCAAACATAAACAAACATTTAAAAAAAAAAAAAAAAAGAAGTTCATTATTTAGAATATAGTAGAGGCTGGCGCAGTCAAGGACATTTCCGAAGTGAGTGTCGACGCCTAGGTGCTTCCCAAGCTGTATGTGAAACTACATTACTGTGTGAGTTGTGCCATTCACAAGGTAGTCAGGAATCGCTCTCACGAAGCACGGAAGGACCGAACACCATCACCCCGATTTAGATCTGCTGCTGCTGCCCCACAACCTCCATCAAAGCCCACGTAAAGAGCTAAGTCCTTAAGGACTGAAGAAAAACTGTTCTCTGTTAAAAAAAAATAAGACGGAGATTATACTTAAAAAAAATTTGTGTGTGTGTGTGTGTGCTTCAGAGGTGCCTGGCTGACTCAGTTGGTAAGGCATGTGACTCTTAATCTCAGGGTTGTGAGTTTGAGCCCCACATTGGGTATAGAGATTATTTAAAAATAAAATCTTCAAAAAATTTTTTTTGCGTGTGCTTCAAAGGACACTATCAAGAAAGTGAAGACAATCCACAGAATGAAAGAAAATATGTGCAAGTCACGTTATGATAAGGGACTTGTATCTAGAATATATAAAGAACTCTTAGAATTCGATAATAAAAAGGCTAATAAGCCAATTTAAAAATGGGCAAAGAATCCAAATAGACACTTCTCAAAGAAACAGAAATGGCCAGTAAATGCATGAAAAAATGCTCAACACATCATTAATCATTAGGTAAATGCAAATTGAAAATGCAGAGAAAGGGGTCTCTGGGTGGTGCAGTTGGTTAAGCGTCCAACTTCAGGTCAGGTCATGATCTCATGGTTCGTGAGTTTCAGCCCCGCGTCCGGCTCTGTGCTGAGCCTGGAGCCTGTTTCAGATTCTCTGTCTCCCTCTCTCTTTGTCCCTCCCTCAACTCATGCTCTGTCTCTCAAAAATAAAATAAACGTTAAAAAATTTTTAACAAAAAGGAAAATGCAATGAAACACTATTTCATACCCACTAGAAAGACTATAATCAAACAGATGAATAGTAACAAGTTTGTCAAAAATGTGAAGCAATGAGAACCTCCATACTCTGCGCTGGTGGGTCTGTAAAACGGTGTAACCACTTTGGAAAACAGTCTGGCAGTTCCTCAAAATGTTAAAAATAGAGCTACCATATGACCACGTAACCCCACTCCTAGGTACACATCCAAGAGAAATGAAAACATATGAGTATACAAAAACTTGTACACAAATATCCATACCAGTATTCTCAAAAAGTAGAAATAGCCTAAATGTCCACCATCTGATAAACGGATTAATAAAATATGGTACCTCTATACAATGGAGTATTATTTGGTAACAAAAAGAAATGAAATATCAATACACGCTGCAACATGGATGAATCGTGAAACATTATGCCAAGGAAGAGAAGCCAGCCACAAGAGATCACATATTAGAGGATTTCATTTACACGAAATGTCCAGAATAAGCAAATCTGTAGCGCCAGAGAGTGGGCAGGGGATAAGGGGGAGGCAAGGAATAGGATGTTTGTGATGGTGGTAGTGGGTGATGAAGATGTACTGTGACTGACTGTGGCGATGGCTGCACAACTCTACGACTATGCTAGAAATCACTGTACCCTTAAAGGGTACACGTTGTACACTTTAAACAGATGAATCGCATAGTATGTAAGTTATATCTCAATAAAAATATTAAAGATAGTCACCATTTTCATACTTCAAACACGTATATTTTATTGTATATAAAATGTACTTTCATAAAGGTGATTTAAAAAGAAAACAAAGAGTCATTTTCTTTTATTATTTTATTTATTTAAATAAATTACTTATTAGCATCAAATTAATTAATTATTTATTTTTATTTATTTTGAGAGAAAGAGAGCACTAGCAGGGGAGAGTCAGAGAGAGAAGGAAAGAGAATCCCAAGCAGGCTCCACGCTGTCAGCACAGAGCTCCAGGTGGGGTTCAACCTCACGAACCGTGAGATGATGACCTGAGCTGAAATCAAGAGTCAGACGCTTAACTGACTGAGCCACCCAGGCGCCCAAGAGTCAGCATCTTCCAAAACCATTCCAATAAGTAGACTATACATGTGATAATAAACCCAATGTCCAGGTAGCCTGAGAACAGTGACTCATTTTGCTCTAGTCAATGCATATAAATACATTACCCTTCTACAAATGCATCCAGTTTAGCCAGTTCATCCGACAAACCAACCAAGACATCAAGTGTGCCAACCTAGAAGGGAAATACAGCATTTTACTACTTAGGTTTCATCCCCTGCCATTTTTTTTTTTCTAACAAGGTGATACAACACCTTGATTTGAAGGGCCCATAAATCCTAAGTTCTCCGTATTTTATTCCATGATGTGCAAGTGTGGTTAAAAAAGTTTGCCAGACATCTCAAAGGTATTTATATGCACGGGATAATCCTCTAATTCATGGGTACAGCCAGCATTTAAGAGGTGAAGATTCTGCAATGGCAGGCCTATGCATCTGCTTCTACTACCCAGTGATGGGTGGACCATTTGAAGTCATGGTTTACAGCAGCAGCTCTTAAATAGGGAGGGGTCCACGACTATCAGTGTCTCAAAGGAATTCGTAACTCCCAAAATACGAAGAACCGGTAATTTTAAGTTATTTCTTAAATGATTGCTCTATATAACTACCTGCTAAGTTACCCAGCAAAATAAAAATACTGTGATTTTTCCATTCTGTAAAATTACTGATAACCTGCTTCCCTTTGAGGCTGCTAGGTACAGACCTTCAATAAATATTAAATAAATTAACCACATTAAATAACTAAGGTAGACCTGCAAAGTATGATTAAAGAGGTCTAATGGTAAAACGTTTGCAACATTACTGAAACTTGCATGAATTTAATAACAAAAAACTGGGTTTGCTGTGATATTGAAGTATATTACTAAGATTTTTCACTTCTGAAGATATATGTGAATGTAATATATCAAATATTTTCATAACATTTCTCATTACAATTCAAATTACAATTTAGAAAAGCACAAAAGTTTGGAAAAATGTTATTCACTTTGGTAGTTTACTTCTAAAATCTCAAGTTCCTCATTATTTAAAATGTGAAGATTAGAGGGGCTCATCTCAAGTTCCTCATTATTTAAAATGTGAAGATTAGAGGGGCTCCCGGGTGGCTCAGTCAGTTAAGTGTCCAACTTCGGCTCAGGTCATGACCTCTCGGTCAGTGAGTTCGAGCCCCGTTTAGGGCTCTGCGCTGATAGCTCAGAGCCTGGAACCTGCTTCAGATTCTGTGTCTCCCTCACTCTCTGCCCCTCCCCCGTTCACTCCTCTGTCTCTTCTCTCTCTCTCTCAAAAGTAAATAAACATTAAAAAAATTTTAAAGACAGAGAGAAAATCAAATTAAAAAACAAAATCTGAAGATTAGAAAGAACAAGATAAGTTTTCAATTATGCCAATGGCTAGAAATGAGTTTGTTTTTTTTTTTGAAGGAACCCAGATCTCTAATTTCTACCGAAATGTAAGCAAAGACAACTGTTCTCTTCACAATGAACTCATACACTACTTTGCACCATGCCGTTTTACCTTTAAGTCAGGAATGTTAAATTTTGAAGTAATAGCAAGATTATTGTTCTTTGTAGTTGCTGCATGCAATTTCTCCCATGTTTGCTGACATGTTTTCTCCCCAGGAGCAGATATAAGCCAGAACTCAGTCATATTTGTTACCAAGTGTTTCTTTCCAAATCAAAAGGGACTCTGAAAGGTAAAACGAAACAAACAAAAAATACCTTCAATGCCATTTGTTTCTAAAGTATTTCAGAGTCACAGGATAAGTGATAAATATTAACCTTTTTCAAAACGAATCCAGCATTGGCAGCTGATCCCAAGCAGAGTCAAATGTACCTACCTGAAGTAAATCCACATAAATGGTAAAAGGGGATTTATTTATGATACTAGGGGGGAAAAAAGATGATACAAACCTAACACATTTAGTATCTAATTTTTTTTTAACTACAAAACATTCCAAAATGGGAATTATTCAAAGAGGTGCAGCTACGGAAAATACCAGCCACCAAACGTTTCATTCCACAAAAGCAGTAGGAAGAATCACAAATTTACAGGCTAATCTTAAACTCTTAAAACAAAAAACCAAAATAGGAAATTTTAAAACATGCATAACTTTTACCTTTGAGAAGGAACTGAATCAATGCACTTGAACAGAAGCCACCAAATAAATTTGTCACATCTGGCTTAGCAAATCCTACAAAGTTAGCCAAATTAGTTATTAATTTTAACCCATATTCAACCTAAGGGAATCTCCTCACATCCCTGGCATATAGTTAGCTGCCATCAAACTTTACGAATTTGCAAAACAATCTTACCAATTGGCCTTACACTTAAAAATATAACAGGGCGGGGGCTGGGGGTGGTACCATTGGATCTAAGTGAGAGGCTGTGGACCTCCCTCTCCAGGCAGTTCCATTAAGACACAACCAACCCTCTTATACAATCTCTCTCCTTCCCTCCCACTTGGAAAAATAAAAGTCCAGAGCCAAATATATTCAGAATCTAAGTTTAGGTAAAGCACACAAGCTCCTAAAAATGAAAATATTACCGCACCATTATTTCTACTTGAATATGTCTTCATTAGGACCACCATAAACTTTCTACTACCAGTCACTGTTTACACTCTCCCGAATAGAAAAGAACTACCTTACAAAGCTGTCCTGATAACAAAATCATGTAACGAACGTGAAACGACTTTGTAAATTTAAATTTACATGGGGCGCCTGGGTGGCGCAGTCGGTTAAGCCTCCGACTTCAGCCAGGTCACGATCTCGCGGTCCGTGAGTTCGAGCCCCGCGTCAGGCTCTGGGCTGATGGCTCAGAGCCTGGAGCCTGTTTCCGATTCTGTGTCTCCCTCTCTCTCTGCCCCTCCCCCGTTCATGCTCGGTCTCTCTCTGTCCCAAAAATAAATAAACGTTGAAAAAAAAAATTAAAAAAAAAAATTTACTTCAAAATATAAAGTATAATAATCATAATGGACTTTTATTAACTTCATAATTTCACTCATCCTATTTTTAGAATTGTAATTAAGGTAATCCTAGGCAATCATTACACAACTGAAAGTGAACACAGATGCCATTCTATATACTTTGTTATCTTTTTCCAATTTCTGTTTATACAGATCTACTACATACCAGGTACTGTTTTAAATGTTTTAGGGGCACCTGCATGGCCCGGTCAGTTAAGCATCCGACTGCAGCTCAGGTCACGATCTCGTGGTTCGCGAGTTTGAGTCCCACATTGGACTCTGTGCTGTCAGCTCAGAGCCTGGAGCTGGCTTAGGATTCTATGTCTCCCTCTCTCTCTGTCCCCTGCCCACTCACATTCTGTCTCTCTCTCAAAAAAGACGTATTAAAAAAACAAAAAAAATAAAATAAAAATAAAAATGGGGTGGAGCACCTGGGTGGCTCAGTCGGTTGGGTGACCGACTTGATTTCAGCTCAGGTCGTGATCACAGGGTCGTGGGATCGAGGTCCATGTCCGGCTCCACGCATGGAGCCTCCTTGGGATTCTCTCTCTCTCTGCCCCTCCCCTGCTGGTGCTCTCTCTCAAAACAAATAAATATTTTAAAAAATAAAATAAAAAATATCTAGGGAAAATATGGTACAATGTTAATAACTGTTAAATCTGGGTAGTAGGTACACGGATGTCTGTTAATCTAAAGTATTTGAACTTTTCTGCATACTTGAAATATTTCAAAATTAAGTATTTTTAACTGTTACAAGAATGTAATTACAATAAAATAAAACAATGTTTAGCACATTTATAAATTTTAGTGGACTCTCAAACAGAATATCCAGAGAATAGTCTTGTTACTATGTTAATCCCCCAAGCACAACTTTTCGGTTTTAAAACTAGTCAAGATGCTTTCTAGTCTGTTCATACAGTGTTATGACCAAGTATAGTAATATATTGAACAAAAACCTTCCTGATGTCCTGGAATTTTTTGTCAAGAAATACTTTAGGGTCAACATATTCAGGAACTCTAACTGCAAAATATTGTAAAGGTAAGAGCTCGGGCTACACTTGTATTAACTCCAGAGTCCATCTCAGTAAGTTGCTCTTTAAATTCCTGATGAGATGTTGTGGTTCTATCTCCTGCTTTCCTGTCTTCCCCTAACCTGAGTCACCTCACCTAAGCTGCTCCAAACCTTGCTATCTTTTCATTTGCCTTTGGCAACTTTGGCTCTGGCTTTTCCCCTTCTCTGATCTCCTCCATCTAATATTCTTGCACTTATCAAATCTAGTTTTTTTACCCAAACACCAGTCATAGCACTACCTTAAACTTTAAAATTCTAAGTTGATCAGAGAATTCCATAACATCTTTAAACCTCTTTCACTAATCCAGATCTTCTACATGATGGTAGTTTTTGGAAATCTGAGGTTTTATTATAATTATTTATACAAGCAGTTTTGCTAAAGTGTATCTGATGACATTTTATACCTCCTCTACCTTCCAAAATAGCAGGTGATTAAATCAATAAGTTCTTTCTGATATTTTAAAATTATCCAAAGTGCAGCTTCTTCAAAGACGGTAATAATATGAGCTATTACAGTAGATGTCACTATCATACCATTTAGAGTTCTAGAAAATCTTTTTTATCCAACAGGTTTCCAAAGTATTTAAAAAACAAGAAAAAGAACCCCATTTTTCATCTATAAATAACTGCCCTATCCTGTTTCACTGAGCTATTATCAGGACCAAATAAAAAAATGTCACGATGATTCTAAGCAAAAGTAGAGTCTGGAAATGTCTAGGAAAGAGGTACCTGCTGGCTCAGTAGGAGCATGTAACTCTTGATCTCCAAGTCATAAGTTTGAGCTCCACACTTAGCCACCAGAAATCATAAGTTTGAGATTGGTTTAAAAAAAAAAAAAGAAAGAAAGAAAAGAAAAAGGAAATGTCTAGGAAACTTATAGAAAGTACTCTAATTCCATTTTTAACTGGAGCCCTCTCTAGGGCCTAATTGTTTGGATATGAGGAGGAAAAGGTGTTCTCTATGTTTGGTATTATGTTATACACATCTCATATGCTATCTCATTTAATTCTCATGACAGCCCTATGAGCTAGGTAGTAATACTTGGGAGAGGTTCTCATTTACCAAGGCCACATGAGGGGCAAGTGGGGTTCAAATACCACGGAGTTTGACTGTAAAAGGCTATGTACTCTCGATTGTGTCATAGTAGAAGAAAATGTTCTGCACTCAGACCCACATGAGCTCCGCTATTTGAAGAAATCCACGCGTAACCTTAAACCCTTTTGTCCTGCTTCCTTCTGGGCTCCAAGCAACCGATAGGCCCAAGGAATTCTAAATAAATTGAGCTTCCCTTCCCTTTTCTTTTCATCTAGGATCATCAGAATGATGTTGATGTCTGAAACAGCAACGCCCAGCACCCCAACTATCCTAGCTCCTAGAAGGAACAATGATACCTCCAAACAGAAAAGCAAAAAAAAAAAAAAAAAAAAAAAAAAAAAAAAAAAAAAAAAAAAAAAAAATAGTTTCAAGAGATATGGAGATAGAATTTAAATTTAATTAAATTTAAAAAGAGAAAAAGAGCACAAACTTTACAGTCCCATTAATAGTTAAACTCCTGACTCTATTCCCTCACTAGTTTCCTCATCTGTGGAATACTACAAATCTCTTCACACAACTGTTGGAAGGAATCAACAAAACGATGAACCTAAGAATTGCCCTTGAGAACAGCATCAGTAAGTCTTATGCAAAATTCCTTTTGTTCTGTTTTTGAACAATGTCCACTGTTACCCTGTGGACACAAGTCACATAAAAAAATTTCTCCTTGAGGGGTGCCTGGCTGGCTCAGTTGGGAGAGTATGTGACTCTTGATCTTGGGGTCATTGAGTTCAAGCCCCACACTGGGAACAGAGCCTACTTAATTAAAAAAAAATTTTTTTTTCCTTGAAATTTAAAAAACTTTAAGATCAGCTCCAAATAAAATTTATCTTTGTAGATGAATATACATATATCTTAAATGAAATTGTATTATTAAACACATTTCCCCTTTTCTCTCAGCTGCACTGAAACAATCAAAACTGGGTGTCCACTGTTTACCTTGTCATCAAGAACCTAGACATTTCCATCTCCTCTGAACGCTTCAAATGACTTCTGTTTTTATTCCTAATCATTTCCCTTTTTTCATCTTGCATATTGGAAGTCAGGCATAAATACACACGAATCATATGTTTAACAAAAGGGAAAATTAAAAGGTACCCTAATCAAATGTTGGAATTCCTCAAGACTCAGACCTAGGTCTGACTCCCTCTGTTACATGTGGGTATAAACATGTGCATACAATTTTTCTCTTGAGGATGTTATCTATAACAAGACAATTCCAGGCTAGATGCTGAACTCTCTCAAATTTTTACCTCCAGCTCAGACTCCTCTGCTGCATCCAGAGCCATACCCAACAAGCCTCCTCAACTAACTACAAGACCTCTCCACTTGGAGGTCTCAAAAACATCTAAAACCCAGTGTTTTTTTTAAAAAAAAATTTTTTTTTCAACGTTTATTTCTTTTTGGGACAGAGAGAGACAGAGCATGAACGGGGGAGGGGCAGAGAGAGAGGGAGACACAGAATCGGAAACAGGCTCCAGGCTCTAAGCCGTCAGCCCAGAGCCCGACGCGGGGCTCGAACTCACGGACCGCGAGATCGTGACCTGGCTGA